TTTTTTCTTTTTTACCCCAGTATGTGACTCGTCATTGTTGAGTAGTATATGAATATATTTTTTATTTTTAATAACAATGAAATGGAGGCCAACAAAGCTGTAATTATTTTACCCTTTTTGATACGGGTAAACTCAAAATCAAAACTTATTAAGGTGATTTTTTTGTATAATGTCCCATATGCTGTATTTCAACAACAAATACTGTAAACGTCCATTCATAATGTGCTTCATAAGTTGTGACGAGAACAAACAAATGGTTTTTCCTTTTGCGGTTTGTTGCGATGTATAGCTCGGAAACGAACTATTTAACATAACCTAATTACTAACATAAGTATTCATGTTTGTTTATTGTAAGGAACCCTAACAGAGCAAGATTAGACTCGCGCTTGGCCAGTTTTTTATGTTTTGTTTGTGTAAAACGTAATTTTCTATATGGTGGATCTACGGGGTTTAGTCAAAGTGATCCGCATTGTATTACCCTTTTGAAAGACTTGGTCATAAATTTAAACTTAGAATCATACTATAGTCTAATGGGAGCCAGACATACTAGTTGTTCGGTAACTTGTACACGATAATACTAAAAGTCAGCAGATGGAATAGAAATATCAACCAAGATAAACATTGTTACAGAATTCACCTTGTTAACACGTCTGTCAAAATCTGTTTTATTTACTATCATTCATACCGCAAGGTCAATGTTACCGCAGCGTCAGACGGGATCGCGTTCAACTCCCACTCAATGAGAACACACGATAATATTCCGTTATTGGTTTCCAAAAATAACGGCTTTGTTGGGGAAAACTGTTATTACACACGTTATATAATATAATACAACGTTGTGAATTGCTTTGTTAACATCATTACTGTATGTTTATATTATATCAAAAACTCTGTGGTTTGTCACACACGACACGAGACCAACGGGACACGTACGGGCAAGATGTTTAGACAAACTGTCTCGGGGGAAACAAAGTTTAAACCATGTTTAAACTAACATACAACCTACTATTATTGTAGGGACGAAATTAGTTTGACGGTAATCCTTTGTGTAAATAAAATTTTTAAGGAGAGACGAAATATACTCGTGGAAAAAGCAAGGGACTATATTTGCATCAGCCGTTTCGTTTTGCTCGCATCGTTTCCAAAACTGGTTTTGCCAAACAGCTTCTCGGATCTGGCTTACTCGATGATCCGGAGTAAGCCAGGTACGAAAACTTTTAAGTCACGACGCTTCTTCTGCTGAACTTAAAATATTTAGGATGAAAATAAAAATTTGTTCCGAAAGTAGTAATCATATACATCGACATACGCCTTAAAATCGGTACTATTTCTGTGAAGCTGTTACATGTACTAAATATAACATATTGTTTGTTAACTCAATCTCGTTTAATTAAAAACATTTAACTAAAAAAATTACTAAAGCAGCTTCACGTGATAGGTTAAAAAGGTGACTATATCGCTCTTAATTCTCATAGTCGATCAACGATACACATTTGTTTTGTTTCGCTAAAAGTTTAAAGGTATGGGATTCGCTAGCCACCCGCGTAATGCAATGTAAATTGTTTATGTGATACAAATCGACGGACACTGTATGCATACGCGTGAATCACTCGAAACACATTCTGGGGAGGCTATCAACTCAATTACGTTCTCGTGTTGAATCGCTCAGAGGCATCTGTGCTAACGTGCCATGTCCGAATTAACATGGGATTGTTCGTATTCAAGAATTCTAATATGAACGAGAATAGTCGAAGTCCAATTAATTTAAAGGTAATTCGTTAAAAAATGAATTAAAGCATAACGTGGAATTTTGGAACAAGCACGGCTGATGGGGACTAGGCGAAAAAACTGTAAGATTTTTCTGTCACGGTAGAATTACTAGATTATTATGTTAGTAATACGCCACTTTGGCGGAAAATTTTGGCCTTGATGAGATTTTATTTTTTATAGTAATTTCTCCTCCACCTGTTATAACTTTCTCTCACTATGGTAGTTTCTTACGATAGTTTCTTTGTAGTTTTTTCGCCCATGGAATTTTCTTCCCCTTCTCTGATTGTATTTTATTTTTAGCTGCGTTCCAACCGAGTGTTCCACAACACTCACGATTGCATTTTTATTATGATACTGTAAAATATAAATAATGTCTGATATAAATCTAAGTTTTCAGATTTTCGAAATTATAATTTAGGTATCTTAGCCTAAAAGCTTAGTAACTTGTCGGTGCAGAATGATCTGCAGTTTTTCATATATATAATCATGTATCGTGGAGCATTTAACTGCCTATAACTGTACTAATTATTGAGCTTATAAGAATCTACTAGTATTTATTTTTATTTTTTCTCATTTTTATTTATTTAGGATATCAAACAATTTTGCAATATTGTATGTAATGTAGTAACACTATTAAATATATTGATGTCATTACACAACCAACACCGAGATCCACTTAAAAATATATCACAACACAGAGATTATAATTATTATAAAACATGATAAGTTAGTAATATCTATACTACTTGCAAATCGATGGTTTAATTTAAAAGTTACAAAACACATTTTTTAAAGTTTGGTAAACAATCAGTAATGGCGTTTTTATATTGAATAAAAGACATTGTAAAGAGGTCCAAATCAAAATCAGATAGGTTATCATTAGAAAAGTTCATTATTCGATGTAGGGGTGCGCGTTCACCTGCATTCGTTCTGCACTGTTTGGGGTATAATAGTTTATGAGCATAGGTATCTCTTATACGCTTTGAACTACTGGGAATTCGAATATAAATCTGTTTTATGAGGTCATTGCAGTCAAAATAATTATGACAGATTTTGAATAGAAAAAGACAATCAAGTAAGGAACGCCTTAAACTTAAGCAAGGGAAGGAGAATTTACTCAGCAGTTCACTATACGAAGACCTAGCACGGAAACATCTGTAATTAACAGTACGTATACATTTATTTTTGAACAGTTTCAAGTTGATCACTGTATTTTTGATAGAATGGATTCCATATTAGTGAAGCATATTCTAATTGCGGTCTAATAAGTAATTTAAATAACAACAAGTAAGAATCGCACAGTTTAAAGGCCTTACAAGTACGCAGAACGAAGCCAAAAAGTTGAAATGCTTTGTTAACAATATAATTAATATGAACATCTAAATCATGATCGAGGAACATACCTAAGTCTTTTATAGTTGAGACTTTCTCAAGATCGGTACCACAGAGGGTGTAATAAAAGTCAATAACATGTTAAGTAAATGTGATAGATTTGCATTTTGACACGTTTAACTTTAAATTGTTAGTAAAATATATATAATATTAATGCAAAACAGTGTTATTTAATCGAGATTAATATACGGTATCATATAGAATACTTGAGAGAATTAGACCAACTGCCACCCACAAATCACTGAGAATACACCAACATCCCACAAATTAGTAAACAATTTTCCCAAAGTTCCGCTTTACTAGTTCCACGTTGGAACAAATTATAGGTGGGGAGTTCGGATTGTTGGGAGTGCTTCATTAGTCACATGTTCTACCCGAGACTCGAATACCTACTTGACGTGAACACTTCGAAATATTTCACATCCTCTGAAGCATAGCTAACATTTCGTGTGTTTACTTAAATGGGCTGAATATTTCCTCTATGGTAAGGAAAACTCGATGAATATTAGTCAAGATTAAAGACAAAACTGGTAATCAATTACGAATGTAGTCGAAAACGCCACAGATTCCTTTGCTTGACACGTGAAACGAACGGTAACTATATTGTCATTTCTATGTATAAGATTTCTGGAAATGAAACATTCTAAGGCAACACGCGCTGCTCACACAAAGGGTGAATTAGGAAGCTCAAATGAGCACATTTCCTGCTGAACATTTCTACCGTATATATGAAATGTGTTTTCCATAAATTGGAACTGATCAAGACTATTCAAGACATTCTTACGACTACATCAAACTACGTAGGCAATATAGTCTGCCTTCTGTGACGCTATGGAACTACTAGCCAAATAGTCCCTAAAAGTTGCCGTACCCGGCACATCGAGGTTTAGAAAGAGTAACTTTTCTTGAAGTCGAAACTAATCGGCACTATTCTAACCAATAAAGATATAATCTGCTGGGAATAGAATAATTTATAATAACATACAAGTCTGGCTTCGTGTTATTCTGCAATATCTGAGAAGTTGAAGTAATCCCTGTATCGGAAGGAAACTATAAACTGCTGTAATACGGAGCAACCTATTAACGCCTCAATAGTCATAAATAATAGTTTCTACTGTTATGTACAGGGTATTTATTTATTTAAATCTGGTCAAGCAAACTAGAATTGCTCCACTCCATAAGTATGAGTAGATTCCAATTCCTGCAATTGAAAAGAACGATAGAAAAACGCAAAGCCTTTACCTACCTCAGCAACACTTCACTATGATGTCATTTAGCTGCATAGTCTCTGCAAACGACACTAGACTATAATTCTATTTACATTCTATGGTCTATAAGGTGGCTCCTTCCGCAAACTGACGATCCAGTTCGAGCGATTAATCTGCTCTAACCTACGCTCCATTATAACAATCTTTTGTAGCTGCAACATTATAACGTGGTTCACACTAACCATAGTAGGTAGGGTTCTTTGTCGTGCGATATATTGCCGTTGGGCTCGAGCCGGTCGAGCCACTCCTCCGAAGAGCCATGGTAAGGCAGCTTGCCGCGCCCGCCGCCGTTCTGGTGTTGACGGTCGCGACAATCGCCGTTGTCATCGTCGGAATCGTCAGTTGTAGCTGCAACATTATAAAGTAGTTCACACTAACCATAGTGGGGCTCTTTGTCGTGCGGTATATTGCCGTTGGGTTCGAGCCGGTCGAGACACTCTTCCGAGTAGCTGTTGTAAGGGAGCTTGCCGCGCCCGCCGCCGTTCTGGTGTTGACGGTCGCGACAATCGCCGTTGCCACCGTCGGAATCGTCTTTTGTAGCTGCAACATTATAAAGTAGTACACACTAACCATAATGAGGCTCTTTGTCGTGCGGTATATTGCCGTTGGGCTCGAGCCGGTCGAGACACTCTTCCGAGTAGCCGTTGTAAGGCAGCTTGCCGCGCCCGCCGCCGTTCTGGTGTTGACGGTCGCGACAATCGCCGTTGTCGCCGTCGGGCTCGTCTTTTGTAGCTGCAACAATGGAAATCGAGTATAAATAATATGTTTAGATGTTCATAATTTCCTGCTCTTTATATTCTTAATATTGTATCAGTCAGGATTACGATACTAGAGTCAGTTTCCTCAGCAGTGGCGCTCTAGAGAATTATTACCTATCTCTTTTGCAGCTGCAATAATGAGAATCAAGTACGAAAACGATGTTTAGATGAATAACCATCTAAACATCGCTTTCATCATTGTATCTGTTAGAATACCTGTGTTAATTTCTAAATATGGTTCTAGAAATAGGGTTCTAGAAATTTAACAAACGCTCGCACCAACACACGTAGCCCCAAAATAATCACTGCGCTTGTGATTTCGTATAAGACTAGGGTACAGGAACTTACATGTAGAATTTTTCTTTCTCTTTTTATTGTGAATGGATTTTAAAGACACTCAATGTAATAACAATACTTCTTCTTTAAAAGCTTCTATAAACTCTTATTTTTTAGTAGAGGTAGAGAAAGAATCCAAATGCTTTCTTTGATTCACAAACGTGAGAACTCAGGTAATTTGCTATCTAAAATCCCAAGGGATAAAAGCTAGTTCCGTATTCTCGAGAAATATGACTTCCTTGATCTAGTTCGTAATAATAAATTAGAAGTGCTAAGGCAATTTCCCAACCTTGTACAAACAATATTATGAATAAGACAAACATTGGAAGGCGCAACTAACTACATATTTTCTCATTTCTTTCATGCAAATATAAAATCAATTAGTTGACGGTAAAATGAGAAGTAATTCGCGACGTGAAAAAGCATTGAATCACGACCTCACAGTCCCTACAGCCTTTGTGGCTGCCGGGACACTCCAATTAAAATTGCAAGGATATTTTACGAACACCGGCAAGTGACTTTAATATCCATGCCATTGTTAATTCCACAATGAATACTAACTATGGAAGCAATGCTTAGCTTACCTTTTAAAGAAAAATTAATTCGACGAATAAAAGCAATACACATTTGAAAGCCACTAATGATGTGGTTTAATCTCACAGGATCGGAGCGCGGGAAAAATTAGAAAAGTAACTATTTGGAAAGTCCTTGAAGAATTAAATCAGTAGTTGGCCATTTCTTCGTTAAGTGTAAAATTGACACTTAGTTAGAAAATTATTGCGCAGACCAGTATTATGCATAATAGATAGTAGCTAAATAAGAAAATACTTAAGAATAACTTTGTGTCATAAAGTCATTAACAAAATAAGATTTTCTGATAATAATTTATTCGGTGTTGTAAATAATTTCGAGGCAAAACTTAATAGAAACGGATTTTACAGAAATGCAAATGTACCTACCTACAATTAATATACAATTGAAAATTTATTCGATCCAAAACTTTATTTCTCTGGAAAAGTTAAAGCAATTTCCTACATGGAGAAGTTTTTTTACTCAAAAACCTTGAACAATTTATTATACCTACGTATCATTAAAATTGCGGTACAATTTGCTGAGTACATAATTTGTTTTAACAAAGTACAATCCCAAGACGCTAGCTAAGCTTAAAACCCCAGGAAATGAAATGACGACTGGCGCTTTGGGAGACCAACTTTAATTGTGAATGATTCCTGCTTATGGAGAATTGTTAAGACACATAATGATGAACCACACAAGCGAATCATACACATTTGAAATTATCAAATAAAAACGCGAATGGTAACTACAATAAAATTTATAAAATGTAATTACGTTTATAAGAATAAGCGCGGTAAATGATGACGACCTAGTAAAACAAGACATCCATTACGAATACTTAAATTAAGTGCATCTTCTGAAATTAATTATGCATTCGCAACGGTTCCGTGCATCTCCAAAATGAGAAGTGGCCATCTGGCGGCTTGAGGAGTTCACTTGTGCTATCTTTTTGAGCAAGATTTATTAACTTCGTTACTGGTATGTCTGCATTAATTTAAAGTTGGCCTCATTCAACTACACAGGACACGTTGAAACTTATTTAATTAATACAAACTTCAACAAAGGATAAAATATTACATGTTCATATTCGTTGTGTCTCATTCATTTGCAATATTGCTTTATGAGAGAAAATACTTAGCACCGGGCAGACAGAAACTAAGAGAACACGTTCCGCTCCAGGGCAAATAAGTTTAATTATCTCGACTCATTTGGGGACTGGAGCGATAAATTGTTCACATATAATTCGACACTCGACAAACCACGTACCGTTCATTATATCGGTTTCACAGAGAGATCTTGCCTATTAGAAGGTTTCCTTCGAACTGAATTGGATTACGTTGTTGAATTATGGACTGTACTGTGTTCACTCGGACGATATCTCGCGCAAACATCCCATGAATGCAGTGTAAATAACTTGACAAAACAATGGATATTGGTTTTTTCCGGGTTGGATTATCGTGGGATTAGGCTGGAGGAGGTTGGCGGCACGTGCGCGAGGCGACTGCGATAAGACGCCTCTTATAAATTGTTTTGCCGAGAACAATGATGTGCACACGTCCGTGCACAGACTACACAGTTCCGTTCTCGGTACAGATGCAATTAGATAAGGTTTTGCTTCCGTGTATTCAGTTTACACCCGATTCCGGCAGTGAAATCGTATATGATCAATCTTCATTCGTGGTATTGGTGACAATGAGGGGTGAAATTAAGACAAGTTTCATAGACGCTAGTTTGAGAGCATTCACTGTAGACAGTGTGTCGGCTCATATCCGAATTATTCATCGCCTTCAGCTTAGTTTTCAAAATGTCGTGTAGCCTCGTACTAATAAAACTTATACAGCAGTTCATTCTGGTTGTGCTGCGCACTTAATGTCACAGATAATCTTAAAACTAGAAGTAAAATATAAGACGGAAGAAATTTTTACTACGTTGCAGAAACGCAAACAGTGCGCTGGTGAGTCATAAAACGTATTACTCCAATCACAAATGTTAGTTACTCGGAAACTATTCGACCTGAGGTCACACATAACTTAAGAGGTTTTACTATTACAGGTAACAAAGGCGAGAATAGACCACATAATATAAACCAGTTTAAGTTTTCTTGAAGGCGAGGCGAGTAGCAATATAAATATTTAAACGTATCATAAAGTTGCGCTTACAAATAATAAAGTTAATGTTGTTCTAGTTGTTTAATACAAATTTAGAAATAAGAAATTTGGTTATCGCATAGATAGATATTCTTAACTCTATTCGTTTGCAAGCTTTGTAACGTACCTTAATATGGTTTCGACTCATGGTTTCGATTATCATAGGTTCCATTTCGCACATTTTATCATATAACATCATCGATATTCATCAGGCATCATCACATATTTTATCATTTATTCCTGGAAACACATAATTTCAAAAATATCACACACTATTCATCACTTTGTAAATACGTATAATAATTTCTTCTGTACTGAAAATCACTATTCCAGAGTGCTGGACACTTACCGGCATTTCTCTTTATTCTGTTATTTACTTGTTTTCACTTATTATGCTTTGATTTTATCTATATTTAATTTATTTATTTTATTGACATTTTATGACAACCTAATGTTTTTTATCCGTTGCCATGGCTACCCATGACACGGATACTCTCTCCAACTACGTCTATGACTATTCAACCTCCACAGACCACTTACTTTGATTCTTTTTGGCTCGATTCGAACCGTGTCTAAATTCAAATGGTTCCGGACCTATAAAAGGCCGAGCCTCCCTGATCATTTATTCAATTCTACGGCAAAAGTTGCCTACTCAACTTTTGAAAGCTCGCTACCGAGCTCTAAATTAATAAAAGGCCTTGTCCCGGGGCCGACTGCCCCGGGACTCAAGAAAGACCTCAAAGCTTTTTAGCACCTATTGGCTCTTTAAACAACTTCCTAACTCCAATACTATACTACTATACACGTTCTCGCAACCTCATCGGTGGGACTGCGCCTGGTCTCCAGCTTCTTCGGCCAGCCTCCAGCTGCTTCAGCCCGCCTTCTACCGACTCCTGCCGTTTCTTCAACGCCCGCCTCTGGCCGATATACGCCGGCCAAAAACTACCAGCAGCGCCGCCAGCAACCACCAGGGGAGGCCAAGATCTAAGACGGCTGCACAGGAGCGCTTCTGCCTCCAAGGAGCGCCGTCCATCTACCTGTAGCACGACCTACCGTTCAAGCTGCCCCTGAAGATCGCCGACGACCCACGCCCTACCGTTCAAGCCGCCCCTGAAGATCGCCGACGACCCACGCCCACTTCACAACTCACACCACACACATACCATACCCATATTTTTTTATAAACTGTAAACACTACTTTATCTTGTAAATATATATATCCTATACTGTTCTTTTGATTTTTTTTTCTTTTTTTTTGTTTCTATCTAGTTTTATTTTGTCGCTACACGACAAAATTGGCGCCCAACTCTTTAGTTTAGTCTTCAGGTCTTCTCTTTAGTTTTTCCTCTTCCTTACCTTTATCTTCATTTATCCCTCCAGCCTCTCCCTCTAAATTCTAAAACAACACTTCTTCTAGTGTCCCTATCCCATTCATCCCCTTTGGCATCTTATTTGAAAATAAAAATAAAAAAAATCCCCTTTATCATAAAATATATATATATATTTGTATTTATACTCTATTTAATTGTAAATATTAGTCATCTTATTCCTTAATTTACTTATAATTTTTAATTATTTTTTACTACTTAACTTTCTATTTTTTTTTTCCTCTTCTTGCTAACTCTTAGCTCTCACTGAACTTCATTTTTACTCACTCTAATTTTATTTTTTTTAGAAGGAAACAAGGTATTTAATTTGAACTTTATTAACTTATCTTTATTGTTAACAATGCCTAGATTAATTAAATTTGAACACCTCAACAAAGCTGAACTGATCTATGAGGTAACAATTAGATTAGAGAATCCAGCAAATACAGTCTTAGAGTTGAGAAAACAAATTCAAAGACTCTCTTCGATAACTTCGCCAGAGGATATTCTAACTTCTCCTTTTCCAGTTGATGAGGATCTTGCTCAAC